ATTTCATTGTACAGAAAATTTACTTGCACGCTCATATTTTGACCCACGCGAAGCATATCCTGATGGTAGTACAAAAGAGAAACGTAGAGCTTATATAGCTACAGCACTTGCTGGTGAAGTGTCTGTAGTACCATCGAGTAGGTTACTTGCGCTATTAGGACAAGCATTAAAATGGCAGCAGCATCAAGGTTTACTTCCACCTGGTACTACAATAGACTTGTTTAGAGGGAAAGCAGCAGTACGAGATCAAGAAGATGAGAAATATCCAACACAACTTTCGAAACAAATCAAATTTGGACAAAAATCTCATGTGGAATGTGCAAGATTTTCACCCGACGGTCAATATTTAGTTACCGGATCTGTTGATGGATTTATCGAAGTTTGGAATTTTACAACTGGTAAATTTAGGAAAGATTTAAAGTACCAAGCACAAGATAACTTTATGATGATGGAGCAAGCAGTATTATCAATGGCTTTTAGTCGTGATAGTGAAATGTTGGCTGGTGGTGGCCAAGATGGAAAAATAAAAGTATGGAGAGTACAAAGTGGACAGTGTTTAAGAAGATTTGAAAAGGCTCATTCAAAAGGTGTTACGTGTATCCAGTTTAGTAGAGATAATAGTCAAATACTCTCTGCATCGTTTGATACTACAATAAGGTATGTAGATGCAGTAGAATACAAAATTTTATCAGAATTGTGATTTTATTTTTTATACAGAATACACGGGCTTAAATCTGGAAAAACGTTAAAAGAATTTCGAGGACATTCATCTTTTGTGAACGAAGTCGTCTTTGCACCAGATGGACACAATGTAATAAGGTACAGTTTATATCTCATTGATTTTTAAGTAATGTTGATTCAAAGTATTCAATTACTGTTTTTTCATTTTTTTTTAAGTGCTTCATCCGACGGAACCGTAAAAATTTGGAGTTTGAAAACAACGGAATGTGCGGGCACATACAAATCTTTAGGTGCTGCGGATTTAACTGTAAATAGTATACATCTTTTGCCTCGAAATCCCGAACATTTTGTCGTTTGTAATCGCTCGAATACGGTAGTAATTATGAATATGCAAGGCCAAATTGTAAGATCATTCTCAAGTGGTAAACGGGAAGGCGGTGACTTTGTTTGCACGGTTGTCAGTCCAAGAGGTGAATTTATTTACTGTGTTGGTGAAGATCTTGTGCTTTATTGTTTCTCTACATCATCTGGAAAACTCGAAAGAACTCTCAATGTAAGTAACGTTATTTTTGTATTTTATATGTAATAGACACTAGACGATTGTTAACCTTTTCCAGTATTTTTTCATTACCAATACAATGTCGTAAGTATGTTTCTTTTTATTGCAGATACACGAGAAAGACGTAATCGGCCTAACGCATCATCCCCATCAAAATCTTCTGTGTTCTTACAGTGAAGATGGTCTCTTAAAATTATGGAAACCCTAACTTGTTATAAATACACTTACATGTTTGATATTACTCTATTCTTCTTATAATATTTATTTCATTTTACTATTTTC